AATACAAAAAAATTTCAAAATAAAAAAAATCTCTAAATACCGCCCCAACCGATATACGCGTAATTCGAAATTTTGCTCCCATCACTCACGCACGACTACGTACGTTCTCGAAAATCGACGGTTTCGCTTTCGATGTATTAATAATAATAATAATAATGAGGAAAAACTACGTCGCGATGGTTGAGATATCGGACTGAATGATAGCGTGATAACAAACTATCATCATCATCATCGCACTTATCGAAAAAAAAAAAATGGATTCGATTCACGCACTTTACGTATGTATCGACAACCTTAACAATAAAAACTAACAAACCGCAAACCGCAAAAATCTTCTCCTCCTTACCAAATATTTCACAACAACAACAACCAACCAACAACCACGTTCGACAACTTGACAAAAAAAAAAAAAAAAAAAATTTTTTATCGCGTTCGTAAAAAATAAAAATAAAAACTCGCGAGTTTCGCGATTCTCAACGCACACACACACGCACGTTTTATTAAAATAAAAACAAACAACGAAATAATCTTCATATATATATATACTCGTATTTACACCCGCGAAATCCTCACGATTCTTGCTAATAATAATAATAATAATATTAATGATAATATTAACGATGATAATAATAATATTGATCTGTCGTAAAAAAAAAAAAAAAAAAAAAAAAAACGTTCTGACGAAATCGATTCGATTATTATCGACCTTATTTTTTTTATTTATTTTATTTTAAAACTTATCGCGAAATTTAACAAGAAAATAATTAATAAAATTGTTTTAGGGTTGTCCAGTTTTTTTTTTCTTTTTTTTCCTTCTGAATTCAGTGCCGTATCTATCAAAGAGTGTAAAAATTAAACCCGAACGAAAAACGAGTATTTTATTTACTTATTTTTATATTCGATCGAGAATAAAAAAAAAAAAAATTCATAATATATATTTAAATTTTTGTTGTTGTTGTTGTTGTTGCAAAACTCGTTCGTTATTCGCAAAAATAAATAAAATTACGAAATTTATGACAAAAAAATTAAAAATTAAATTTCGCGAATTATTATTATTATTATTATTATTATTATTATTATTTTTTTTTTTTTTTTTTTTTTTTTCTAATTAAAGACGTAATCGAATGTGATCGAAATCGTTGCGAAATTTATCATTATCATCGAGACCTCCAAATTTAGAAAAAAAAAAAAAAGTCAATTTCAA